TCTTGATGAAAGAATAGAAGGTTGTCTACCATCTACTTATTAAAATATAGTCTTTAAACGTATCTTTTTTTGAAGCGAAAAATTTATTATATAAATAGTAACGATTATGGAATATCTCATTAAGAAGAAAATCTCAAGTAAATTGATGATAATTCTAATAATAAATGACATATTTAAATATTCTGCTATTTATTTTAATCAATAATAACGTTACTTCAATGAAATTCACTTTTCGTTTATTGAAAAATTGTTCAGATTTTAACCAAAACCAAATGAGAATAATTAGATGGTAGACAACCTTCTATTCTTTCATCAAGAGCATTTAGTACATTTTTGTACAAGAGATTTAAAATTACTATTATGCTAATATAGAAATTTTATTAAATTTCTTTTCTGAAAACAGCATTCTGAATGATCTCGATAACGTTGTATATTTATCAAGTATTTAAGATGTGAATAAATTTAATTCATATAGGTTCAAATGTATGTTCGAAGGGGGTGGGTGTTTGGGTGAAGATATGTTGGTGTGGATGAATCTTTTTTTAGTCACATCTACCCACAACCATACCCATACTCCACACCCACACCCCACACTCCACCCCACACCCACACCCACACTCACACCCAAACCCACACCCAAGATAGCCACACACCCACACCCACACCAAGATAGCCACACACTCACACCCACATCCACACCCACACTCCACACCCACACCCACACCCACACCCACACCCCACACCCACACCCACACCCACCCACACCCGCACCCACTCACACCCGCATCCACAGCTACCCACACACGCAAATTCATCTGTATTCGAATTTTGAGAGTTTGAAATCATTTATTGATCAGATTGGATACGAATGCTCAGCGAAACAAGTGAAATAGGTGAAGCAACGTCAATAACACTGCAGCGATGTAAAAGTAAATGTTGACTTGAAGTCAACAGAATTATAAAGCTTTTGCCAATCTATAGTTATATGATGAAGCAAAAAGGCAAAAGAACCTCTATCAAGATAAAAGAGTGCCTCATTATATAACGTATACAAGAGAAAAAGCTGTTAGCGCAATCCCTATGGGATTAAAAATGTGAAACACGATATAGCCGTTGCCACTGACCCTCTACAAACTGTTTCGTTCGATCTATTTTGTGATATATTAGTTCACAACTTTTTAATCAGTCCCCAAGAACTAAAATGAGATCGCAGTTCATCGATTCCATTGAGATCTTACTGATATGTGACCATGAGTCTTATATTAGTAAAGTCCATCATGGTTCGTGTTGTCTTTAGAGTCCACCTACCACGGCTGTAATCCCCTGAAGCTCGTCTGTCACGATTTGTGATGCCTTTAGAGCCCGTCTGTCACGGTCTGTCATGCCTTTACAACCCGTCTGTCACCGTGTGTGAGGTTTTTAAAGCCCGTCTGTCACGGTCTGTGATAGGTCTTCAGCGATTTTCTAAAGAAATATTAATTATTAATTAATTAATTACCACATTATTTAATTAATTAGCAAATTCGTCTGTCACGGTCTGTGACAGATCACGTGGTCGTCTGTCACAGTGGGAGGGGGGGGGGGTATAAATTTCTACCCTATATACTTCAACACTCCTTTCAGGTCGTGTTTCACAAAACATGCCTGAAAGTTTCGATACATTATCATTTATTTACTCGACAATGGTTCTTGTAAACGAACTACCTATACTTATGTCATGAAAAATTATTTCCAATGACGACGATATACCAGAGAAAATCGATTTCTTCCTCTTCGATCCCGATAAAAAATTTTATTATTGAAGATAATCTGATCTACTTGTAGTTTCATTCGTCGACTTGATTAACAAAGTGACCGTTATCTAAAACTTCATCGGTTGATGAAAGATTTAAAAGCTGTTTCTGATGAATTAACCTAAAATAAAATCAGTATAGATATTAGAAAAACAATTAAAATCACAGTCAGAAGTGTATCCAATAAGGAATCAGTGATATTTCATTCCGAGCACTATGTACATGTTTAAAAAAGTGTTCTGTACTATGCCTACGCTCAAGAGAATGCGGATACATAAGCCCAACAGCAACAACAACATAGGAATAACTGCATCTTACAGAACACTTTAAGTCCTTTGATATAAACCCGTTACTTGAATTGTTTTCATTTGATGTGATGCAATTACATTCTTGCGAAATAACAGTGGTGAGGGTGTGAATCGAGTTGCATGATTTCAATCAAATCTGAAATGATCACATTACAATCAAAATCACGATTGGTAAATAAAGTGAATCTAAACAAAATTACCCAGGCCCAACGATACGGTTCATTTACAGACTGTCTACTGGACACAGGAACACGGACCGTAATATCATTAAAATAGGGCTGGGTGTGGGTGTGGGTGGGTGTGGGTATGGGTGTGGGTGTGGATGTGGGTGTGGGTGTGGGTGGGTGTGGGTGTGGGTGTGGGTGGGTGTGGGTGATGGCGTGGGTGGGTGTGGGTGTGCGTGTGCGTGT